GAGAAAAATTACATGAAAATTTGGTATATATAGAATAATAAATTAAACTTATACACCATTCAAAATACTACAGAAGTATACTAAGTGGAGAGGAAATAGACTAGCCAGAAGAAAAAACTTACAAAGATGGACAAAAAAGCAAAAGGCCTGAAAGAATCTGTTTGGCAGAGAAAAGCAAAAATGAAAAGTAAGTGAGGGTGGAAAATACTCTATAGACAAGTACTAGGTAGCACACTCTGATAAAACATACCATGAGAAAGAAAATACCCGAAATTAAAAACTTAGACCCTTCAGAAGACATATTACATGCAGAGCCAGTTATACACAGTGACATGCTCAAGGAAAAAGAAAATGCAATCCAGAGACAAGAAGAAAATACTTGGATAAAGTGTAGAACTCTAAGAGTACAGTTACATGGTGGGCATTGTAATCAATGTCATGAAATATATTATACATACATGGATAAAGGAAAACCAATTTATCCCATGTTCTCACTGAGAAAGTCACACATGGGTCACCAATAGTCCTACTGATGGAAAAGGTCCATCTTGTCCCATTCCTTTCTGCATAGGAAGGTGGTTTCCCCAGCCACATCCTTGACTGGATAAAAGAGCTCAGAGAGGGGATCAGGGCAGAGAACTCAGAACCCTGTAGGGGTGAGGATGCTGCCTGTCTTCTCTAACCCACACTAAAGGTAAGATGCTATCTCCCAATCCAGATCCTCTCCATATTCTGCAGATGGTGTAGCTGCTGTTACAGCCCTTCCCTTGTGGAGGTTTCCGTGTCCATGAATTCAGTTGAGTCCTAAACCCATTCCCATGACTGGCCTGTCCCTGAATCTCAATGCCTGGTATCTAGGAAGTAGCCAAGGATGCAGTAGAATGGGGTAGAGATGACTTTTGAAGATGGCCTGCCTCGTGCTTAGATTTGGAGAGGATCTGGCAGAGGAGGGTGCAGTTGGTCTACAATCAGAAATGTCTGGGATGCAGGGTGGTGACCTCTATCTATGTTCTTACCAACTCTGAGTCCAGGGAATGAGCACCTGGCATCATGGAGAAACATGATGCCAACAAGGACAGTGGTCATTGCAGGTCAGCCCATGAAGATACTCCTCAACAAACTAACAATGCGTGCTCTGATGTCATTCCTCACGCAACTACAACTCTCTGCTGGAATATCGAGGTTATAGAGATGTGGCCATTTTCAAACAGAGGATGTTTGAGACAAAGCTATCTTTTCAACTAATGCTATCACCCTCCTTCTACTGGAATTCAGGATCCCAGCAGGATCAAGGTGCTGCAGGGTGTCTTGCTGGGGTGACATATCAAATCATGGTAAGGTTCAGAATGATGAGGTCATATGAGATGAGGAGAACTCTGGGTTGATCACAGTGAGAAATGGGGAAAATGTCCAGAAGATCTCAAACCAGTTCCCTCTTGAGACCACCTGGAAATGTATTTAGTGTCTCCAAAGGACCAAGTGAAGACACTAAGACTAGACATGCTGAACTAATGCTCTGCCTGACTCTACACCAGGCCTTGCACTGACTTTCTGGGTCCCCTATTCTCCTGTATCCCATTGGTTACAATGAGAAATGAGCCTGAGAGGGGTTAAGGGACATGCTCATAATTGCACTGACACTGACCCAAGTTCACTCAGACCCCAGGGCCCTGTTTTGCATTGTTCTAAGTTTCTCTGCAACATTTCCAAATTGTTTAAGAACGTTCCATCTTGATTTTTCTGTTAAACTGGTGCCCATGGTCAGCCTAGAGCTTGTTGTCACAGAAAAAATGAGTGAGTAGTATGTAGACAATTGAACAAATAGAAAAAGTGAGGTTCAGTGTGCTGTTCTACAACCACACACATTCAGCTTCTCATTTTAAGCTCAATCTGCATACTTTAAATTCAAAGGATGCCCAGGAAGCTCTGGTAGCCTAATGGCAAGAAGCTACACTACAATTCCAGAGGTGCATAGTTCAAATCCACCAGATTCTTTGCTGGAGAAGGAGGACCAATGTCTTCCTGTACCAGTCAGATGTTATTTGACAGTACATGCACAAAAAATAGTAAAATAAAATAAATGTTTTTTAAAAATCAAAGAAGACACAGTGAATGGTTAAAAATTAGCTAGGATGAGGAAAATGGTCACTAAATCATCCTCCTCCACTCCGACTCGAGCTCACTAGCTATTCCTCACAATGTCTTTACCTGAGTTCTCATAATGGTTGATGAAGTATTCAGGGAGCATATGACAAGGTCAATAAGGTCATCAAGTTGGACAAGTTTGTGTTGAGAGCCCGGGTCTACACTCTTGCCAGGGAGGATTCTATGTCCTTGCATTTATTAAGCACCGTGTGTGTGTGTGTGTCTGTGATTGTGTCTCTGTCTGTGTCTGTGTGTTTCCTTTTCGCTTAGATCTCCAAGTGATTGAGGTTCCCCACCTATTCTTTCTCTCTACAGGGAATTGGCAGTAGATGGCACTAACCAGAAGGGTACCTGCATGCAGGCATAGCTGGTCAGCCAGAGGTCCAAGATTAGTCTTCCAGAATTTTCTGGAGCTGACCTATTAGGGAAAGATTTCCTTGGTAGACAGTTTTTCAAGGTAGACAGTTCCAAATCAACCAGTTTTTTCCATGACAGAAAAATGGACAATCTCCTCCTGTGTGATTTCCTGCCTCTGAAAACCCACTGGAGGGTCAACTATCAGTCAGTTCCAATTCCATAGCACTTAATACAGTAATACTCAAGTAATATACTCCTACAAGTGGATTCACCACAATGTCCCTTCATCTCCTGGCCGTGATCTCCCTCTACACTCTGTATCTCAATAAAACACATGAGCAATAAACTCCAGACTGAGTGTTCTCACTTGTGCATGTGGTCAGCAGAGCTAGAGGGTGGAGCTTTCCAGGTGGGACTCAGGAAATGGAAGAAAGAGGACATTAAGCAGCTGTGACTGCCTATAGAACTGAGGACACAGGGTTGAGTTCTCCTATTGAGAGTGAAAGAATTTCCTGCATGTGTTCTGGGGACCAGAAAGTAGGTGTTCTCTCAGGAACAGTTCATTCAGTCTTAGGGTACCGTCTCTACCACTTCCATTTGTGCCTAAAATAGACTCAGTCATGACCCTCATGATAATCACCAGATGTTTGGGAGGCAGAAATTTAAACTAACAACTGAAGTGACTGTGTAACTGATGTTTCTAGTGACTGGCCAGATAGGCGGATCCATCCCAAAAGCAGCACCTTTCTTCTCTGCACTGTCCTCATTGACCTGGTGTAACCTCAACCTGACAACATCTGAGCAGAAGGAAAGTCCAGTCTTGTTTTCAGAGTTGAACAAGCTTTCTCATCCAGCCTCCAATTTCAGTCTCTAACGCTTAGATTTGCTTATGAGTCAAGTATATCCAATATGGGGCTGTGATCAAGTCCACTCATCTTTAAATTCCAAGTCAGGAATAGTCTGATGCTCTTATATCCTTATTGACGAAGGTGTCCAGAGAGGGTTCACGAAGGGGCAAAAGCATTTTCTGACTGTGGCCTTTCTAACTTGGGTTTCAGAACTCTCTGCTTTAGAAGGACTATGCTACACATCTTTCCATGAGGTCCTACCAGCCTCTGAGAAATTCATATACTATTTAAGGGGTGAGAGGAGGCCGCACACGATTCTCTAAGCCCCACTACCAGTTTTTTAGGAGTTTTCTGTTTCACTTACTCTTACTGATACAGTCAGTTCTAGATGTTTGTTGTTGTTGTTCTTGTTAAGTGTCATTGAGGCAAGTACAATTCATAGCAACCCTATGACTAGCCAATATGAACCTTACCCTATCCTGTACTATCCTCATCATCTCCAAAAACAAGACCCCATTGCTGTAGTCACTGTGCCAATTCATCTCATTGAGAATATTCGCTAGCCCTCCATCTTTGTAAAAATTATGTCCCTTTCCAAGGAATAGCCTCGCCTAGTTATATGGCACAAGGATGAAGAGGAATATTTGGAATATTTGCCTCCAAGAAGCACTTTGGCTGCACATTTTCTAAGACATCTTTGTTTGGTTTTTTGACAATCCATGGAATATTCAATACCCTTCTTGAGCAGTACAACTCAAAGGCATCAATCAGTTCTAGTAGTGTAACATGTTGTAGGTTGACAGGTAATCAGAAGGTTTCCAGTTCAATTCTACCAGTCTTTCTTCAGGAGAAAGATGAAAAATCTCTTTCCAAAAAGATTTTTTTTCAGTTCTATGTAAAATATGAATATTTCTTTTAGGTTTAGATCCCAATTGATTTCAGAAAACAAATTCTGATTTCTTTCAAAGTAGCTGAGGCCTCTGTGTTGGATGATTTCAATGAGGCAGAAGGTGTTCTGGGTTCTCCATTACAAAGTCCCATACCCCCAGCAAATTCCAGCCTCATGAAGGAAAAAACAAAAGTCGACCAAACAGGGCTGAACAAACGCATATGCACTAACGCTGGAGATGAGCTGCTAAACCTTGGCAAATCTGCTTTGCTTTTTTTCTTTATAAGTTTGTGGGGTTTTGTTTTCATTTTCTTTTGCTACCCAGTATATGCAGCACTTGTGAACTCCCAATTGACTTCCAGCTTTAAATACATTAAACTTCTTGATGAAAGACTATTTAATTCTTCAAGAATCTAAAAAGAGACCAAACATGTTTTATTGTGAACACTTTGCAGAGACAAAGTGAGGCGGGAGTTTGGGTTGTTTTTGTTGTTTTATTTTAAAAAAAAAAAGAATCAATACAGTGATGGAGGGGTAAAGAATGCAAGAACTCAGACCTTCTGTGGAGGGTTACTCTCTCTCTCCGTTAAGAGGTCCGTTAAAAGGAGCAAACTGAGATCCAGAAGGGGAGTCAGCAGGAGTCATGTTTGTTTCCCCACCCCGTGAATAGGTTTTTGCGTAGGGGCCTCTGCTAGGTCCCCACTTGCTCCCCTCCCTTTGGCCTGATATGGCAGGGCAGTACGGGGCATCAAAGGAGCACGTCACGATTCCTCATTCCCAGAATCATCATCACAGTAACAGTCGGCATCTTCCTCCTCCTCATCCTCATCATCAATGTCGTCATCATACAAGCCGTCATAAAGCAAATCTGAGGTGCTGTCATTGGAAGGTACTTTAGTTTTGATACAGTATTCCACCAGGGTTGTGGGGACCTTCACTCCATCCTTTTCTGCTTCGGCCTTAGTGGCTGAAACCTGTTTCCTAATGATTTCACCATACTCTTTGTCTTTTCCTTTACTGTCCCTCCATTTCCTGAACATAACTGAAGCATCCACATTGGCTGGGGAGAAGGTCTTGGGCTCATTAAGCAGTGAGATTACACTTAACAGGATAGTCCTGACATTCTGAGTAGGGTTCCACCTTTCAGAGGGCAGTTCTCCACTCTGTGAATCATCTACAGATGGGTGAAAAAATGATTTAACACCTCGGAAATCCACGGTGGTTGTCACATGCCAAAATTTTCAGATTTGACTCAGTAGCAGTGGGAGAGTAAGAATGACAGGTTAGATGAACTCCTGTCCCTGTCAGAGAATGATGGTTGTGTTGGTGAGAAAGTGGATCTGTAGCTTTGATGGCAATGGATTAGAGTGCGATGTCCTACAGCATCAAACTCTGTCATATAGAAGGCAGAAAGAGCTTCTACAGAGGGGCAAGGCTGTGCCAGTGTGGGATCAGTGAGGAAGTCACACAGCGATGGAATACAAGGGACAGTCCAAAACTGACTGATCAGGAGAAATATACAAAATGTCTTAAACAAATGTGACACTAAAAATAAAGAGCCAGTGTTATTACTACATGAATTATGAAAACTGTGATGCAAAAAGAAGGAATAAGAAATGTAGTTACAGAAACTTCTCATAAGGACAAATACTACATAAGACCATTATTGTATAAATCAAAGGATAATTAGTCAAACATGTACATGATCCAAGGGGCAAAGGGATCTGAGCAGAATGGTGAGGATGAGTAAGGGGGAAATCACAAGGTCGCAAAATGTGGTGGGTGAGGGAAGGGGTAAAGGAAATAGGAAAGAAAGAGTGGGAACCTGAAAAGACAGGGTGATGTGGGCATAGTCCAATGGGGGTGAATTTTATGGGAATAATTGTAGAAATATACATCAATGAAGGGAAGGGGGGTAGAAATCTGCATAATAAAATTTTTAAAGAAATATCATTACAGAAACTTCTAAATTGGAAAGAAGTCAAGGAGATTTCAAAGCAAAGTCAAGTCCATCTTAGACTTGAGAATAAAATAGACACTTAGATGAGGACTTCCAAGAAAAGGAGTAAAACTTCTCATGAGAGTGGAAAATCATAACAACATCTTGTTGTTATTGCTGTTGTTGGTGTTAGGTGCCATTGGATTGATTTTGACTCATCACAATCCAATGAACAACAGACCTGTACTTTACACTATCATGCGTCACAACCTTTCCGCTGCTTGAGATCATTGTTACAGTATCTGTGTCAATCCACCTTGTTGAAGGTCTTCCTCTCCTTCTTCATCCCTTCTCTTTCCCCAGAATGATGTCCAGGATTGATCCCTGGAACCATAGCCAAATTATATGAGACAAATCAACATGGCCAATTTATGTGAGACAAAATTTTACCACCTTTTTCTCTAAGGAGAACCCTGGTTGTACTTTTCCTACGATAGTCTTGTTCCTTTTATTGGTACTACATGGGGTATTCAATATTGTTCTCCAACACAAAAATTCAAAGTCTTTGGTTCTTTGTTGCTAATTTTTATTTTTATCCAACTTTCAGAAGCATAGCAAGTGTAAAGAGAGCAATGGCAGGAAGGGAAAGACTAAGTCTGACTTCTGAAAACTCTACAAACAGAAGTGTCCCCATCAATAACATCCACAGCACCAAAATTAGAGCTGTTCAGATATGGTCCCTAACTAATTAATCTAAAGAGATCTAATATCACATTTTTTAAGACAGTCTTCTGAAGTAAATGTTCTGGATTTTTAGTTATTTTGTTCACTGTTTAAAATTATTATATCTCTCAACCTGTAGGTTCTGTTGCTATTGACCAGCTTGAACAGTGTGTTGATAAGTCTGATTCTTTTCTATCTGAATAATCTATGATTTCTTGAGTTGTGAAATAATTGTAGAATCT